TATCTTCATCTGACCCTAGACAGACATCCCCCAGTGGCACCTAATACACAACTGTGGGGTACAACATTGGCGCGCTTCCTAAGAGAAGTGGGATGGCAAGATCTGTGGATACATAGACACCTTATGACTAAGCAGTTCTCCTGCTTCTCCAAAACCTATTCCTCTCTTTACTGAATCTATCTCTGTACTGGTAACGTGCCCATGGATCCCCTACTTTCTAAAGTTGAGTATTAACCCCCGGGGAGTATCTGATCATTCACCGCTAGTGGTCTGGATCATGACTCAGATTTGCCTAAAGCCCTGTAATAGAGATGCTGGTTGCAATAACTAAAAGCAAGTCATATACACGCTCACAATCAACATATAGTCATGCAGGTACCTTTTAATCAGCATTTAAACCATTACATATCCTACGCATGTGAAAGACCATTTACTAAAATGAACACCTGTCCTGGCACATCATAGCATTCACCCGGCACTCCAAGAAATAACAGAATCCAACTGCAATATTCTTGCACTATCAAAACCTCCACTTTTATTATCACACGACACACAGGAGGATATATCTTATAGTTATCACAATCTGCATAAAAAAACACACACCAGTAAGAGTGTAAGCATTACAGCATGAAATAGACACATCATTTGACAGCGTCACAGCATAGAATTAATACATTACCAAAGCTATGTTAGAAGCTGGGATGAACAAATCTCATCGGAACCATACTGCCCACGGGGTCACAGGGAAGCCGTAGGCGCAACCAGCCGATGAGCCCATATAGCCTTGGCAAAATCCCAGCCTCAGAGCATCCTCTGGCCACTATGGGGGGCCTTCTACTGGTCTTGCCCAGACCTCCGCCTTATAAACCAATTTTCTGGAAGCTTCCCAATAGTAGGCAGCGCCACACCCACCACAGGAGGAGCTATCAGAAGGGTTCCACAAGGATAACAGAGTCATGCTCAACCATCATATTCATTATCTGAAAAGTCACACTTTTGCTTCTTATCTACCCCAAAACCTCTTCTCATCTCCCCCAGACTTAAGGATTTCTAACTTAGACGTCTTTAAATAGGTTTGTATCTCCTAATGTGAGGTTACTAGATGTTATAAACACGTTTCATTCTATAAACAAGTTTTTATCTTGCTCTCAGCAGAATATCTTGTGACTTTGTTCCTTTGACCTAGAGAAATGACACATCAGTCACCTCTCATGTCCCTGGCATTTGGGCAACAATGCTTTATTGTAAAAATTAACCAAGAAACAAAGGGTCCAAGGCCAACACATTTCATAGGCATTGCAAGCCCCCTGGAAATTACATGCCTTTTGGCTTCAATTGTTCCCCTCTCATGACCATATAGCTTACCTTATTTCTTCCTATTTCTGTAACCATGCTCATCACTCGGATAGCCTTCTGGTGTGGGGTGGCGTTTAAATCTTACTTATGAGGTATTTGTATACCAGAAATGAATAAGATTAAGAAATTCACATCTGAATTACTTGAGCTGATGGACATTCAGGTACGTCAGTTTGAACTGGAATATATTACAAATTCTTCTGATGCTTCCCTGAAGGCGTGTATGTCGTGCAGTCTGCCCTTGATCGCTTGACGACATCGACGGCTGGACGCAAATGTTTTTTCACTAAACTGGCGTTTTTTGAGGAGGGGGAAAAAACGGGATGATTCTTGGCTAAATTGGTACACTATCATCAGACCTCTCCCACTATAGGTGCCATTAGAACTGAACATGGCCGCATTGTAAATACTCCTGATTTGGTCCTTGCTGAACTGACACGACTGTATGAAGGCCTGTATAGTTTGCACTCTGCACACTCAGTTGCTGACCTCACTGGATATTTACAGCGTGTTCCCCTTCCCACCCTCTGCCACGCAACGGGGCCTACTGGAGGCACCCCTCACTATAGAAGAGCTTCAGAGGGCGGTTAGCTCCTTCCCCTCCTCCAAGGCACCCAGGGATGACAGTATACCCATGGAGGTGTACACTCACTATGGGGAACAATTCTTACCCCAGCTGCTGAAAGTATTCAACCGGGCTCGTATCACTCAGTGCCTGCCTCGATCTATGTCCAGGGCTCAAATGATCCTACTACTAAAACTTGGTAAGGACCCTCTGGATCCGAGTTCCTATAGACCCATTTCCCTCTTGCAGTCTGACATAAAAATCTTAGCAACAGTCCTAGCCTTGCAACTTAATAAGGTCATATCCCCTATAATTCACTCGGATCAGGTGGGTTTTATACCTCACAAATCTACAGCCATTAATCTTCGCTGGCTATATATGAATATGCAAACCCCAGCAGATAATGAGGGATGAGAGTTCTGCTATCTTTAGATGCCAACAAAGCATTCAATAGCATTGACTGGCAGTACCTTTGGCCAGTGATAGGTTTGGGTTCGGGGAAGTTTTTACCTCCTGGGTCTGTTTGCTGTATAGTCACCTTCAGGCTACCATATGGGTGGCAGGCAGAGTATCTACTCCCTTTAGGTTAGGCAAGGGGACTAGGCAGGGTTGCCTGCTGTCGCCTCTCTTTTTCACCCTAGCTATAGAGCTGCTAGTTGCTCTTATATGCTCCAACCCTGAAATTACTGGCTTTCACTATAGACATATAGTGTGATTTGGCATAATGCCTCATATGCTAAATTGGTTAAATTGCAACAGGGCCCATGCTGGAAGAGCTATGGAATTACACATCTTTTCCAAATCTTTAAGGATGGTTCTTTGCTACCCTTCTCTGATTTACAAAGGACATTTGCTCTGCCTGCTTCTATGCATTATTATTATTATTATGTATAATTACAACATGCCATTAAAGCCCAGGGGACTTCCTGCGATTGGTACCTATCCTCATCACCATTCTTTAACTTAATTGCTTCTGCTGAGACTTCTAAAGGTTTTATATTGCAGAGATACTCTATGCTCTTGGCCAGATTTCTTAGACAGTATCCATTGAGGGTCCTGTCTCAGTGTGAGAAGGATTTAGGTGTGATCTCGGGTGGCCAGTGGGAGGAAGCATTTGAAGCAGTTACCTCTTGTTCACTCAATGTGGCACAAAGACTTTCCTAATTATATATTCTGCATCGGGGCGATTGTATAAAATGGATATTTAGCTAGACCCCTGGTTTGTTAAATGTCTGCGTGACCAGGGTGATCTTATTCATTTACTTTGGAGATGTCCTAAGCTTCACCTGTATTGGAAAGGGGTGACGGACATAATGAATTCAGTTTTTCAGTCTTCTGTGCCTTTAAATCCCAAATTTTGCCTGCGTAATATCTTGGGCGATGACATCTGGGAAGCTATTTACAGAGATTTATTTATGGTTCATAATTTAATTTTAACTAACAGGAAGTCGGCTTCGCCCCCTTCTGTAAGGGCTTGGATACAGGCCATAGGTGACTTCTTAAAATTGTAGAAATTCATTTACCAGCATAGAGGATGCCCAAGTAAATTTGACAGGCTTTGGGCTCCATGGCTGGATACCCCTGTACTTGGCCCATTGTAGCTAGTCCAGATGCGAATTCTGTGAGGTCCCCTAGGTTGACATATACCTGACTACTAGTTACTCTTTTGTATAGTGAGCCTATTGCTTAGTGTTCATTGTGCAATGACCTTTGTACTGTTACTATTGCTGTTTTTGAACCAATGGCTTCATAGAGGCCTAGTAGTTGTACCCACATATGTTCTCTTCTGTTTAGTATGTCTTACTGTTGTGCAATTTGTCCACCATGCCTACCTTTAACTGTTTTCAATAAAGCCTTTTCTGATTTAAAAAAAAAAGTGTATAAATTATGCAAAAGCATATAAATGTTCAGTCTGCTTCCATTATGAAAAGTCTGTAATGAATGTGTCATACCTGCTTATTTGTAATAACTTATTTCATGTGAAGTTTGAAAAACAATGGAAAGGAAGAGATGTATGCTTTCAAGCAACTGGTCAGAACAACATGCACTAGATAATCTAAGCTGGGATCCCAGCTGTAACACCTTCAATTATATTTACACTTCTTTTATAGATAACTTTCATTATGGTTTATTCAAATGACAATATACATCTCAATCTTTTTTTTTTTTAATTTAATTATGAAAGTGGGGCTTAATTATGAAGCACTCAAAAAATGAGTTTGCCTGGAAAATTAACTGATAAAGCAAGTTATCATGTGCTTCACTGATGTTAGCTTCTACAGGATTAACAGTGTGTTGCACTGAATGTTCATTTGTTCAATCAAGCCTGTAGCTACATTTCCTCTGATAATATGGTCTAAGGAATATGGACATATCCCCAGCTTTTTTTAGCATTAAAACCCCCAGCTGGTTTCAATTACAGTTTGTTTTGCTGGGACATAGTAGAATATTTAAACATGCAGTAATTATGTGTTTTCAGATGCTAATATTTTTACAGTTCACTGACCTAGCAGCATTTTTATGCTAAAGTGAAAGCAATATACCCTACGCACTGCAAAATATAACAAAGATTTAGATCACCGTTTATAGCCTAATTCCAGTCATTTTTTATTAGTTTTGAAGTAGAAAAGAGGTGCATATGTTAGGTTTTTTTTATAATTGTCTATGACTCCATTGGGGAGATTTTCTCTCTTCATTTCCCTGTGATCCCAATAATAGAAATGGGAGGCGCATCACTGGGGCATAGATAGCAATTGAAATTTTTTTTTTTTTCGTTCCCCTGAAGGACAGATTTTCCATCACTTCTTGTTCTGTCAGGAAGTGCAAGGAAATTTCTCCAATGGAGACACAGCAAAAAAAACATGATAAAACGCTAACCCTTTCCCTACTCCACACAGCATGAAATAAAACATTTGAATAGTAATCATTTATGCAACAAATATGTGTATACAGTGTAGTGTAAAAGCCATTCCATCAGGTGTCCAATTTTAGTAAAAGGTATAGCGCAGGGCCATTGAGTTAAAATTCAAGGTAGTCACTAAAATTTTCTTCTGGCCGAGGTCCGAGTAGGGTGTGCCCATCAGTGTGCCCCCTTACATTAGGTGTCGCCATCAGAGTGCAACTTTACATCATGTATTCCTATCACATCAGGTGTGCCCATCAGAGTGCCCCTTTACATCAGGTATCCCCATCACATTGTCACCTTACATCAGGTATTCCCATCAGAGTGCCCCCTTACACTCAAAGTACCCCTTTCTATCATATTTCCCCATCAGAGTGCCCCTTTAAATCATATTCCCCATCAGAGTGCCCCTTTTTATGACATGTGCCCATCAGAGGGCCTCTTTACACAGTTTGTGCCCCCTTAACATAAAATGTGCACATCAGAGTGCCCCTTAACATAAAATGTGCTCATCAGAGTGCACCTTAACATAAATTAAGGGGCATGCTGATGGGCACATTTATATTAAGGGGCACTCTGATGGATACATTTTATGTTAAGGGGCACTCTGATGGGCACATTCTATGTTGTACCAATCAGAGTGCCCCTTAACATTCAATGTGCCCAACAGAGTGTCCCTGTAAGACTACACCCTATCTTGAGGGCAGACAGGAGCTGTGCTGGGATCCTTGCTGGACGCTTGTGTACAGGCAGGGAGCGGGAGTCGGAGAGACAGTGAGCTGAAAGGGGTGGAGCGCACACGAGATGTTATGTTGCCGTGACGACCACCCTGCTCAGCCGCCGATCTGTCATTGCTTGCTGGTGGTCCGGGCAGCAGTGCTGCTGAGGCCTTTCGCCATTTAGTGACCGCTGGTATAGAGGCTGTCTTGAGTTTCTTCATGCAGTTGATTTTGTTGATAGTTGCTTCAATTATCCAATTGCATGTAGGGCAAATTATACATTGTTAATTATATTATTTTGACATAATTGGATAACTTAACTGAATATTCAAACAATATAATAAATTAGCCCAATGGGTAAGTTTTGTGAGGACGAAATGCAGCTAGACTTAATTTGGCTATACAATGATCAACATTCGGCCTGTCAGCAGTGTAATTTCGATTAATGTTTGGCCTTCCACATTTCACCAAAATTGAATATTTAATCATAGTCTGTCGAAGAGATATGTTTGAAGATTTTCCATCGTGTGCCACTGTCAGAATACAATGTCCAGACAGGAGGATTCCTCCATCTACCTTGATTGTATGGATAGAGTAATCTGGGTTTTTTTTCGTTCAGCCTGCTGTATGGCCAGCCTTAAACCATTTTGTCAACTGTTAGACACTTTGCAGAGGTTTCTCACAGAGCAGTAAAACGTAATGGTATTCAGTTCTGGAATTGGTGGTAATCAATACATTCAATAAGCTGTCATTTACTCTTTCAAGGAGAATAAGATAAAAGTAACTTCACTGTTATCTAAAGTGATACATATGTAGTTTAAACAATAGAATAGATAGCCAGTCATGTTGTCTCATTACTGTCCAGCCATATGCAATTATTTCACATGAGTCAAACAAGCAGATCATTGTATGATACTGGAAGACATTTGTAAGTATTTTGTGTATAAAGGGTTCAAACATTTTGTAGTAAGTTTTTAATTTCTTCCCTTAAGCCCCTGGTCACATCGGGTGTGACTTGGCATGTGATTTGCATGCCCTGCGACTTGCAAATTGTATACCAAGTCGAACCCTATTGTCCACTATTAGAGCGGTCATATCAGTGCGGTTCTGACTTTGTCAGAGCCGCACTGATTTCTAAAGTAGTGCATCCACTACTTTTGTTGCGATTTGCATATGATTTGCAAATCGCAATGAAATTGTCAGGTCACCCAATTTTGAAATCATACGACTTCACTGTAAGTCCCTCGATTTCAAAATCGGCTTTCATGTGACCGGGGGGTTAAGGCTGCTTTCACATGGAGCAGTTTTTGAAGCACTTTTGCATAAAAAAAGTGCAGTAAAAGCCAAAGGAAAATGCTTTCCTTTAAATTCTATGTAAGTCTTCAAACTGGACCTTTGCACTTCTGTTGTGGTGTAAACAAAATCCTGCTTGCCACATTTTTGGAGCATATTTGGTCAGTTAAAAAAAAAACAACATTCCCATTGAATGAATGGTAATCGCATCAAAAATGCAGTGCACCTGTGGGAAGTGCTTTGTCCAGTGGGGAAGAACACAATGCACCACAGAAAAAAAAGCATCAAAAATGCATATTGGTTTTTAATATGTTTTTGCAATGGAGCAGTGTGAAAATAGCCTTAGTAACTGAATGTTATTCTTGACTTTGGGTAAATATTTCCCTATTTAGGCATAGCAATTTTTGACCAACTTACCTTTCTAAAGTTTACATTTTATTCTTGCCATAAAATGGAGAATGAAATTCAGAGCACCTATTTTAGAGGTAAAACTCTTGCATAAATAGCAACATATCCGGAAACGTGGGCAGGAAATCTTGACAACGAACCTCCCAAGATATATAGAAAGCACACAGATAACACTTTTGGGTCCCCTTACACTTGATTTAGGTTCCTTGCAATTCATTGTTGCTTCTTTCAGTTTAAAATGGTCACCCTGTTCAATGATGAAATTTACTTTGATCCTGCAATGCAAGTATACTGGATTAAATGTCATGATCTGGTAATACATATAATATTGTAATTATTGTTTTATATTCTAATCTTCATTCATAGATGACTCCAGTGGGAAAAAAACAGAATTCACTGACCCATCGATTTGCCATGCTCCAGGAGGGGAGTACTTTGTTGAGGGAGAGACATGGAATTTTGATTCTTGTACTCAATGTACCTGTCATAGTGGAAGAGTGCTATGTGAAACTGAAGTCTGCCCTCCACTGCTCTGTCAAATCCCTACCCGTACTCAGGACTCCTGCTGCCCACATTGCCCAGGTACAATGATTTTTATTTCAAGCAGCAATTCTAAAATGTTCATGTAACAAACATCTGTATAAAATGACTGGAAAATTGTTGTGAGCAAAAAGAAAATGTGCATTTGTATGACTGTTGCTTAAAAACTCAGTATATTTTTACATTTCTCCAGATTCTCAAACAATTGAGAATTAAGAATTGATTAGCCAGGTTGGATTTTCCTGGCTAATTGTATTTGTTTCTCCCAAAATAAGAAAGGGCTATGGGTAGCATTGCATAATAAACATCTAGTATTAATGATGGTGATTATTATAGTAGCTGGGAGCTAGAAGTCTTTCAAAGCTTAAATTCAAATAAAAGAAATGCCTGAACATTATTTGATCTTATGTAAGTTTACAGTACCAAACACCATATATTACTTATTGGTTAAGGCAGAGTGATAGCAGCTGTTAGGATAGGGACTCATCCATATTAAGCGCAGGAGGATATTCCCATTTTTTACATGTAAGTTTACAGACTGTTATTGGCAAAGCTAAAGTTCTCCGTGGGTAATTTAGTAAAGGAAAGCAAAACCACTGTTACTGAGCACAGGTAGGCTTCAGTAGGGCATATTTCTATTTGAGAAGGGCAACTTTCCTTGGCATAAAAAAATGAAATGTATCAAGGCAATCTACCAAAAACAGTTTATATGGCAACATTGTTTGGGATTCAATTGTTTTTGCATTTGAAAGTTGGTTTAAAATGTTTGAAACTGCCACACAGTTTTCAGTTTGTACAGCCAACATTTGCAAAACAGTATGTCCACTTTTTATTTCTTTTCTTTATTGAGCGATGTACCGTAACTTATTACATTTGTATTCTTCAATAATTTCCAGTTTCCATGCTGTTTTTTTTATATATAAAAAAGTTTTTACCTTGAAAATGTATATTGCTCTGTCAGTGCTACGACAGGCAAAACCATTCAATCATCTCCAGAGTACACAGACATTCTGAGCTATACGTCACAAACACTTTGGCGAGGAATAGCTACTCTAATGAGTTTAGTAAATTGCAGGTGCTCCAGGTAGTGAGAATATGTATAATTTCCCATGGTGGAATTTAGTCACAAAATGAAGCATTTGAGTGTGATTGAATGACAGATGAATACAGGTGTACCAGCATAGCCTGCTCTGAGAATTGAACAGTTCTGTAATTCTACTTGTGGATAGAAATGTTTGAGCATCGGGAGTCCTCTTCAAGGTGCTTTTTTTAATTCTTTACGTTTTGATTGCGGGTAATTTTCTACATTGGATTTTTAAATGTATTTTACAGAAAACCATAGCTCATATTTTGTCATTTACTCTTTAAAGCAGAAACAAGTAGTCTGTAGTAAATTAGTAGTTACCTGCCTTAAACATGTGCTGTCATATTGTATTTTTCACTGAAGGCAGTGGTGCAGGTGATATCAAGCACACAAGGTGAAGGATGTAGTAAGGAACTATTTACAGCACAGTTCCCTTAGGAGCCTTTGTCTAGAAAACAACTTAAAACTAAGGTTTGTTCATGCAAGGATAAGAAAATCTGCAAAATATGACAGCATAGCATGAGTGGTTAAGGAAAAGTTTTCAACTCAGATGTTGTCTCCTGAAACGAATAAGTATGCAATGGACAGCAGAGACTATAATCATTTTTATTAGTGCTCCTCAGTACTGGTTTTCAGCAACCACCATCAGGTTATGTATATAGTTTTTTCAGGTAGAAGCACAGGTTTAAGGTAAGGTAATACAGAAAGCAGTGCATTTCAAACAAGCACATTTCTGTGCATGCACTATTATAGGGAGCTTTGTAAATAAAAAAAAAAATGCTTTGCATTTTCTAATGTTTTGTCCTGCAGGTCCCATTGAAGTCAATTGAATGGGATTCTTTGATGGCAATACACTTTTTTTAATTGTAATGCACATTGCCTCATCCACTGTGGTATGAAAGTTCCAGAGGTGAATTCATTAACCAGACTTAAAATAACACAAATCTGCCCCAGACATTCATATGCACATGTTGTAACTTTGAGTTCAGCTTTCCACACAACAACTCTGGACTTTGGTGAACCAGCTGAAAATTCCAAGTTAAATCTTTGTTTGCCACTGTTGAAACCCATTATACTGTCTTAATATCAAGCAAACCGCCAACAGTTGCTTCAGAAATGTAAGCAATCCATAAGGTAAAAGAGACCAGTCAAGCCTACAGTATGGTAGATGCAATGATGGTAACATGTTTGATCCAGTGTTGTCAGCATAATTATAAATTGCTGGAAGTCCTGGTGGCTGTATTGATTAAAATCATTAGCTCCTGATTACCAACTTATCCTACATCATGACCTCTGTTCCTGTTATATAAAATGCAACCTGGTTGGTCACCACCTATAAAAACTTTTAATGCTGTTGTATAATCCATATTTTCCAGAAATGCTTTACATCATAAAGATTTACCTGTAAAAGTCATGTTGTTGTAGAAAATATCCAGATATGACGCAAAGGATTTACACTGAGACACTGTGATCGAGTTTCAGGATT